ATTGGAGCCGTCAAGTGCGTCGAATAATCAGTAGACGCTTTTCAGGAAGAAAACTCTTGTGAAACTGTCCGATTTCGGTATTTCCAAGGAGCTCACCACAAGAAGTCTTGCCTCGACGGTCATCGGTACGCCGAATTACCTCAGCCCCGAGATTTGTGAAGGTTGGTTTTGAACAGCTTGATTTCGGCTTGTCACTAGTTTTCGCTTTCCTCGTATACTAGTCAAGTTCTGTTCAACAACCTGTGTGGTCTTCGGCAGTGAGACAGTTCATACCATTGGTCATGTAAGAAATAGGAAATGCCTGCTAGTGTAGCGCGCCTCCCACTGTCTGGTTATCGGAATCCATTCGACGACTAGGAATCCTTCCCGAATCCTTTCCATATAAAAGATTGGACGACTCAAAAGAGCAGAAGATGTGCAAGCTCCAATGGATCACAAGGGCAGCTAGTGCGTAATCGGCTCATGTTACCTTTAAAGGCAAGCCCCGGGATAAAACCGGTGATAAGAGCGCTTCGTAATGATGACTGAGCTGCGGGACGGCCTGAAAGTGGAAAGGAAAGCTAGAGAAATCTTTGGGATCGCTGAAATTAAGGCCTTAACCTTCAAAAAGGTCGGATGTGGAACGATGGCGAGGCAGGGCGGTCAAAGAAGACAAAACACGCGAGAGATCACGCCGTTCGAGAGAGCACGCCGATATCGAGGTGGGTGGGAAGCGTTGCAACGGGGGTCGATGGTTGCAGGCCCGTAAGGATTAGCGCCCTTACGCGCAACGCATGCGGCTGTACTGATCTCCATGACTTCGTCTCCAAAATTGCCCTATCGCGGCAATTGTTTGCCCCAGCGAATCTGAGTGATCTAGTAAGTAAGGACCTTCACAATCCCTCCCGTAATCCATTCAACACAACCAACACAAGTTGGGCAAATGCCGAGGTTTTCCTTTAAGACTCCATGCCTCCTCCCTTTTCGCCATTTGAAAACGATATTACGGATGGTGTCTGCGTCTCGCTGCCTTTATGGTCTTTTTGCAAACGTCTGCTCCCGTCGTGAGAGTGTTCCCTCTGATTTTCTAGTGACTTGCTTAACCTCTACATATGTTTTTTTGCCGCTTGCCGTAATGCGAGCTGCTGACTTGTGAACATTGACAGAAAATCTCTACCTTGAGCGCCTCTATAAAGGAATAACTAACATCCTATCCTACTACATCACAACTTCATACTATTCATAGTGTGTGTTGGCGTGAGAGGCTAACGACAAGGGCCGATCCCGCGGCGTGAAGTCAGAGACGTAGACGGGCCAACGGATGACTTGAAGCTCGTGCTGTGTGGAGGGCCCTATTATGACACTCTTCTTCTTGACTTGACGCAAAATCACTGCAGTACGCGGCGAGTGGTCCACGGACAAGGACTGTTTCACTCTAATCGCACCCACAGTTGCTCACAGTGAATAACGAACAAGAATCTTTCTATTATAAAAAACAACCAACCTCGTGTGTCGGTGTGTTTCTTCGTGCTCCGCAGATGATAACGGTACATTCATGTTTAGCTCTTCAAACAGCTTGCGTTTCATAAAGTACAGCAGCCGATTCAGTTCTGAAGACCCGATGTACAAGAATGTGGGCCTATTTCTCAGGTGTCGTGTTGTAACTGGAGGAGGCTTGAGGGTAACATGCGAGGGAATTAAAGCAAGAACGAACAACTCGTCAAACCACTTGCGCTTCGAAGTCAGTGGTTGCACCCATGTCTTTTATCGTGGGTTCCATGTTTTCGATAAGCCTTCTATGTAGCAAAATCGTCTCCTTCTGTGCGTTACTGCGCCGCAAGAACCCATCAAGCGGGTCAACTGTTCCGTTACGCTAACTGCGGCCAAAGGAGGTCGGCCTTTTGTGGGTTTTCGGAAGCTGGAGGTCGCATTCCGGGATTTGTAATTTTTGGATGAATGCGTAGGCGATTTATTACGAATCATGCGGTTTAGTTTGAAACGTATTGGGTTGTCTCATAATTCCTGTCGCATTTCTATTCAATTTCAAATTCCTTCCGTCTAAGACCGTTTCATTGCGAAATACGTTAGTATGTTGAAGTATGCTTCAAGTGCCTTAACAGCGTGTTTCGGAAGCGCAAGCCCTTAACGGGTTAATCAACTAGTAATAAAAATAGGTCAGTGACTGCAATCAATGATTATGCTTTATCATCCTCAAATGAACTCTGTAAGCAAGGAGGACAACAGAGAAGATCAGCGTGTGTTTGACTCAGTCTCCGCTACTGATCTCCCTGAACTAGGGTTATTGACTAGTGGATCAATCGCAACGGCAAAAGACGAAACGAGCTATGAACTTCAACCTCATACTGGGCCTGCGGTCATTTTTGATGAGCGCCCCTTGCACCCTAAATTGGGAGTGCCTCCGCACGTTGCTACCAGGGTATTGTAGCAGATACCTGAGCGCAGCCGATGCACCAGCACACGCCATCAGTATGGCAAAGACTGCTGCAGAGTGAAGTTTTGATGGAAACCTTATGGTCCGGCCGACCATGAGCGGGAGCACGCCTGATAATTATAGTGTAATAATTATACGTCTTAGTTATTGTTCTGTGTTCCATAGTTTTACTGATGTTAAGATGTGAACTTATGTAGCGCACCTAAGCGTGCAATAAATAAATAATAATTCTGAGACAGCCCAATAATTGGTACACTACGTGAGGTAGGAGAGGTGGGAGCAGAAAAAATCAGCCGTTTCATTGCACTAATGTACCCTACATCCCTCCCCCTCCTCGCTAGATGCAGTGTTTTGGAAAAGGGGAGAACGTTCGAGTTGGGTGTGTGACTGATTCGAATGGAAATCTCATAGAAATAGCCATATGTGAGTGAGTGTGTCGGGAGTATGGTGAAGGGATTATTTCGTATAGGGTGGGAGCATCTGAGTCCATGACGCGGGTGAGGCCCGCGCCGAGTCCTCCTAGGGAGAGGGGGGATCGGGAAATTTCTGAAAAAGCGGCGAACGTCACTGTGAACCCTACTCCACAAGCATACGCATAATGAAAAAAGTTATGAGAACCAGTAGCCCCGGTTGCCCTGGGTACAGCATCTTTAATTTCCTAATGGTTAATATTCAGGGCGCAGCCTAACACACCCAGCAAAAAAGTGACCTATGTCTGCCCGCTGCGTGTCTTATGAGCTGCTCGAAGGAAAGCTGAGCATTTGATGCGAAACTTACCACAATCTCCTGAAAATCACCAAGGTCAGCTCAACTCTACCTTCATTTTTAAATATTACCATTTCAAGGCATATTCCCTACCCCACAACCCCCGTGAGAAAAAGAGTCTGTTTCACCCATAGTCTCCGAGGCATGTGTCACCTGTTCTTAACACATTGACGACATCGCGCGTATTCGCTATTTGCCGCGTGGGATCGGCGCGATTTCGCGAGCGCGACCGCCTCACTTCACATCCGTGAATTTCCTGCTCTGAGTATGCAAAATTTGGATGCGATTGAATGCTTCTAGTAATTTTTTCAATTTGTTTCAAGTTATCAGTACGCAAGTAACACAATATGGGTTTTTTTTTAAAAAAAGAACTTTGACCAAAATGGCGAGTTATGGCAATGAAAAGGCACTTACCTTTAACTTCTTTTCGCTGTAGTGGAATCAAAACCATTCTGAACGGGGTTTTGTCGCGAAACTCCTGCCATCCAAAGAAGTGTGTATTTACTTCTATTGTTCTTTTATCTCCATGATCAACTAAATGATCAGAAAAAACGACGAGAAGAATTTGAACATGTTCGTAAGAACTGATAACTTCGTATAGCATACATTATACGAAGTTATACGACTGCGTTTTTACGTTCTAATTTTTCCTGAACGGCCCTCTGAATACCAGAAAAGGGGGTCCCTAGTCACACCTTTTTCACCAGTTTTTCAATCAAAGTCTATTTGTAAGGGTTACTGACGGTCCTAATCATGAATATGGTACTAATTATTCATGCTAACTCCATTTTGCGCGAATGAAACGTCAACTCGAAATGCACAAATTTTGTCACCACAGAGGAATCGGAACTAGGGGACCCGCCTTTTCTCGGTATTTCAGAGGGCCGTTCAGAAGAAATGAACCACGCTTTTGTGGTCCCCATATGTGCCTCAATGTCATGCAAGAAACCATTTTGAAAAAGCTTGGCACACCCTGAACGACCTACCTGTCAGGAGCATTTTGCCGCAAGGGTTCCACTAACTGTGGCCCTCTTGCACTAGGAATTTTTATGTGCAGCTCTAGTTTAAAAGGTCTTATTTGGCCATACTCGTCCTTCAGTACCGACCGGCGACCCACTTTCCCTTCACTTTGTGGAAAAGCTTTGTGCTGCACGCCTTTCCTTTCTACTTTGCGGGAAGCTCTCTACTCGACTTCATGAGTTTTGTAGTGTCACCCTTGTTCGCACTCAACTCCGAAAACAAGACCGTAACTAGTAATATAGTCGATTAACTCTGACGTGATTGAAGGGTGCCACCTTATCGGCATGAGTGCACGTTTCGAACAGGTAAGGGATATGTCACCAGGTAACATTGCTGGTGAAGGTATTCCCAGCAGAAAGGATACTAGAGTGTTGTATGATTCTTTATTTGATTCTTATTTTCAGTGCGCTTACCCACAAATCGGAAGCCACGCCTCTGCACAGGTGAAGGGACTCGTTGCCACTCTTCTACAACTGAACGAGAGGAAGCGACCGGACACTAAAGGTCAAAATTCGGAGCCATGGAAGTTTATAGAATTTCCAATTTTCATGTACACTTCATGTCCTTTGTGGTTCACTAATAGTGTGCAGTATTTGGGTTGCTGTGCACAGTGCAGCTGCGCAGTGGCTTGCTTTCCATTCATTTGACGGGGTGAACTGCTGATGGTCGTCACCTCCTTCTAGCTTTACCACAAAATCAATATCCGAATTAGTACCTTTCAAGGCGATAAATACCTACTTCAGAGCTACTCACATGCCCCTTGATACTGCCTATAACGCTCACGATGCACCTGGACATTGGTCGGCTGTCATTCCCTCAAAATGATAAAGTAAGTCCATTTGGAAGTGTTGTGGTCTTCGGACGAGCTACTACAGTATGCCGTGTTTTCCCGAACTTCGCAATGCTCACTGCAGCTCCCACGAACGATATTTTGCCGGTGGCGTCGACCGCGTCCAAATTTACATAGTATGACCGCAGCTTGATTGCTATTTCCCGCGCCACTCCTTTTTGCCATTTTTTGAAAGTTTACATTTGATCCACTAATTTTTGTGTGCTATTTTTGAAGCATGCGCTTATTTTCAGCGTAAACCGAATGTAAGCGGCGGACGGTTACGCACCACGCCAACGTCGCTGACGTTACGTGCCGGACATCAACCGACGAAACTTCAAGAGGACACCAGAAGAACATTGCTGAGATGAAAAATGTTACTAAATGATGGAATAAGAGCATTAACTTTGAGATTCTGAGTCTGAACTGGCAATGGTTCCTTCCTAAACAGTCAAATCAACGAAATGTCAGGTCTAACTTTGTGAGAGGCTTGCAACAGGAATGGGATCGACAAAAAGTTTCTAGTGTTTCCAGTCATCCAGTATATATCGTGTATTTAATTTACGGTCACATCACACTGCAGATCATGAGGTGAAAAAGCAAAATAAAAAAGACAGAACCAAGCCATCAGGCAAGTGGTGTAGTGGCCAGTGGCATGCTTACCGCGCGCGCGGTCCAGGGATTGAATCCTGGGTCTTGCGCCGTCCGGCCCAACCAAGCTTTCCAGTTGATGGAAGGGGTCCCAAACATCTCGACTTCTGCCTACATCACTTGGACCCCGCACCAATCCTTGATGTACTAGCCGAAACTTGCTGTTCACAACGAATGTTACAAATGGAACTTGGAATGCGTGCGCCCACCCAAAACAGGGACAAAGGACCAGCACCAACGCCACTTCTTTATGCTTTGCTATTTCCCTCAGTCGACGTTCGGCAAGATCAAGTCGATAGCCCTTTTTCTTGAATTAACGCAGATTTACAGCTTACCATATCAATTATCGATCGAGAGAAAAGGTCTGATGTGAAGGAGTTTGTCTATTGAATCGGCACAAAGGTTTTGTTAAGTAATAGAGTCTGGCAAAAACATTCCCTAAGACTGTGCTAAAGCGTAACACGTGTCACCGACCTTGGACACCCGCAACTGGCAGAAGACGCGTGGTCGAATGGGGCATTCTGCTCACCGTTGCCAAATTAAATTCCTTCTCAATCTACCACTTTCGCATCACAGGACCGTCAATAGTGGCAGCTAGGCCGTGTTGATGCTAACAGCCTTAATTTTCCGTCAGCGAAAGGATCAATCTAGGGAATGCTTACAGTGAAGGAGCAATTTTAGTAACTTGCGAGTGGAGTTTAGGATGTAGATCTACGGGCCGCTTCACTTGATCCCCGGAAGTCTCACAGCAGGTAGCTCAAATTGATCCATCTCTCGAAATTCTCCAAGTACTTTCCAAGTTCATAGCGTAGGCGAACGAACAAGTGAAACTTCGGTATTTCCCGCTGCTCCATCACCCCGGGTCGCGGAGGCTGGACAGCTGTTCGCCAACGCCACCTCTTTTGCTCTCTTGCACAGCGCACAATGCAAGCCCTGGACGTACTTCTCGCCTCTCGAGTTCCACATAAATCCGTAGGTTTTCACTTCTTCACGTAACCCTTTGATTCAATAACAATCGTACCAACTCTGAACAAATCCATTTGCCTACTGTCCGATTGCAATGCTCATTTTCTTTACGCTAGCCAACAGCGCTACACGACACCACGATTTTAAGCTAATCGGGTCCGTCTACGCTCCTCCTTCCCACCCCCTTTTTTCCCGCTTACCCAGCAAGCTATCTTCACTTTATTCACTTTCTTGTACTATTTTTATCCTTATATTTCTAAGTTTTCTGAACGGAAGTTTTTGAACTTTGAGCAAACAACATCCCAAAATTGAATTTTTGTAACTTTTGAAGGCCATTGTTTGACCAATATCTCATCTATGGTTTGATGAAGAAATAATAAATTGTAAATTTCATACAGCACTCAAGATCGTAAATTGATTTCTGCGACGATTAATTATTTCACTGCCTATGAACTTAAGAGGCTCTCCCTGACAGAGTGTGCAGTAAATTGAACTAGGTAAGTTCTGGCTCATTTGTTTTTGCAAGATTATTCGGAATCATTCTGGGATCACCCATCTTTTATCTGAGCACAGCCATTTTTATCTCCACCCTAAGGCGGTACAGCTATGAACTTTCTCGAGCTGATACCACTCTGAAATATACCACATCTATTCCTTTTTGAGCATCTTTCCTTATCAGAGCTTCTTAGTGATGCGTAATTACAATCACAGCTATTATCAGCTAATGCGGCATAATATACTTGGTGATACTTGGTGCTTAACGTTGCTTAACGTTGGATACCTTACGATACAAGCAAAAATGTCGCTTCCTGAAAGAATAATATTCACCACTAAACACAAAAAATAAAAATACGCTTTAGAAAGCGTTCAAATCTTCTCCAATTTACCCTTCCTCTCCTTGGCCTTGAATTCAAAATTGCTATAAATTAGGACCTGAAACGATTAGAGTATGAGAAAGAATCCTGTGATTTTTACTGATTTATTGGTGTTTTTTTTGCAATTATTCAGTTTCCAGCGGTCTTACGTGTCGTAGTTGCAGACATATGTACTAGAAATTTAGCTCCGCACTAACCGCGTGCCTGTGCTGCGTAATCTGGCAGCCGGCGGCGTTAGGGTTAGCAGCTAAGTACAACTTGCTTTGTGAAATGCGTTAGCTGGCCTTCCATAGAATGCCCATTTTTAAGCCAACCGTCTGATACGCGCGGTGGAGTGCGGAGCTAAAGTGGTGTCTGTAAACAGCCACCATGCATTGGATGTCAGGATGATTTAGCGGTCGAATAATATTGATGCCAATGATTTTGCAATAGAAATACCCATTATCGTATATCGCTAAACATCCATCATACATTCTTAGGGATTTTGGGAATAGCGGTCGAACGGTATTTTATGTTGATGACGCAATGAGATGATTCTGAATGAAATGCGTATAAATCTAGAACATGGTTTGAGTGTCTCTCTGTTCTACGACTTATCGTATTTGATCGCCCTTAATCACTTCTTATCACTTCCTGTTACGCTGACCGACAAGGTTCCCGTCGCTATGCCTCGGTGTCATGAGTATAGTCGCACTGGCCTTGAGAGACCCACGCCCCACTGCTACCCGCGGACGCGCGTATGTAATTTCGTGAACATTTTTGCTTTCAGCGCCTCTTATCAAATCTTTTCAGTCGGTACCACTTTCTGAACCGCAACCAAATATGTTGCCGTCCCACCCCTAGACTATACTCAAAATACAACGCTCCATGCCTGCAGCGAAGCGCGCCTATGAATTTCGTGTCAGACGAACGGACGTACAGACACACATATGTAAACACACCCAGACACACAGACACACTTATGACATCCTACTATATATAATCGGCTAAGCGTTGTTGTGTGTGTGTGTCTGACCGGAAATTCATAACTTCACCCCCTTTGGACCCAGAGCGCTCAAACTTCTAGGATATATAGGGGGTCGGGGTGAACACTGATGATGGGTGGCGGAAGTGATAACTACTGATAGGAGCTGATAACGGGCGTCGAAATGCCGATGTCACCAACTTCGTTACGCCGTTCGCGTTGGCAGTGGATTGCTAGCACTCATGAATATTGTGTAGGGTAGGACTGGGACCCAAATGGTGAGCGAAGGAAAGTGATAGCAAATGATAAGGGCTGATAAAGGGCATCGGAATGCTAACGTCGTCAGTTTCGCAACGCCCTTTGCGTTGACCCTAAGATGTTCGCACTCATGAATATTATGTGGGGTGAGGCAGGGACCAAAAGGGTGATTGGAAGAAGGTGGTAGCAACTGATAAGAACTGATAAGGGGCGTCAAAGTGTGGATACCACCAGTTTCGTTGCGGCCTTTCGCGGTGACATTGGAACCTTGGCTCTCACATGTGGTATAGGGGATGGGACGGGAACACGGATAGTGGGTGATCAAAAGTGATAACAACCGATAACGGTTGATAAGGAAGTTAGGATTTTGAGTACCGCTGATTTCGTTGTAGCCTTCGTGGTGACAGTAAATATTAGCTCCTACACGCTACAAGATGGGACGGAGATACGGTGAATGTGGGTGACAGAAAGGGGTATGAAAGGCAGGTGCACTAATAAAAATAGCGACAATTGAGTGTGCACTCGGTTAAACTAAACCAGATTCCTAGCACGGGAATATGTTCCATTTCCACCCTTTCATCTAAAAAAGCAAAGGAAGTTGAGCTGCTCCACTATCTGGACTTGGACTAATAGCGAATAAAATCATATTTCCAATTTCCATCATCGGTTGATGCTGATTGATTGGTTATATTTCACTTACACACCGATTCTTCAATTGTGGGAATTCTATAAACCGCTAAATCGCCCGAGCTCGATATCAATGCTAAATGTTTACGAAGTCATGATAAGTACCATTTTCATTCCGCATGCTACTGCGCGCATTACGCGACAATCTTCAGCGAAATTGGACAACCTTTAAACTTCATGTGACACATCTTCCAAACATCTTACTGTTAGTTTCTCAGTCACGTGACCTAATATTCTGCAAGTTGTCCAGTTTCACTAAAGCCCACCATGTGATGCGCGCGGTTGCGT